TGTCCGCTTGGCTGGGCTGGGGCAGGAGCAGGGTAGGCTTGATGAAATCAATGACGGACGATTCGATGTCCAGGTCTTCGGTACGTCGGAGCTTTTTACACGTGACGGGATCGCAACGTCGGAGAATGCGGCTGCCCCAAAGAGGATATTTGAAACCGAATTACAACGCAACTGCACGTCGTAACCCGAGTAAAATCCGACTGCTCTGATTATTAAATATTTGTGTTGCTGCTCGCGCGCAACTCGTCTTGTTACTCGAAAGATCCCAAGCTCTTGATTCGTTAGGGAGGCTCCATAGCGGCCGAACTAACCAAGGGGGCGGGGTGCTGCTGACATATCCTTCACAAATTCTCGGCTTTAACCTCGCCGCTCGAAGCTTACGAAAGCCGTACTTCGTACTGGCTCACCACTCACACGTCCTCGCGTCTCGCGCTCGAAAAGGATCTCGATGCCCGCAACTGGAGCAATGGTCGTCTTACTAATCCGAGGGCCCCCTGTCAGTGCACCAGTGTGGTTTTGGCTCAAATCATGCGTGTGGACGTTGCGGACGAGAGCGGACGAGAGCGGATGATAACGCAATAGCCTTCCCAATGGATTGAGGAAGCCGAACTTGAGTAACTACCTGGTTCAAGACCTACTGCTCTTCTGCAAGTGGCTTTCGTAGTTATTTCTACTTCAAGGGAATGCCTAGGGTTGGAAACATCCGCAGATTGTCTAAGATGTCGAGATTCGGCTGGCTACATGCTTCCTCTTTAGTTTCTCCAATTTCTTCATTTGTCTCCTGCAATAATCGATCCGGGCTCCCGGGATGGGTCGGCGGTTCAAGTGCTTGATCTCAAGGGACTGCAAATTCCTCATTTGACTATTGTTAACTGTTGTGTCTTTATCACTAGCTTTGCGAGAGGCTGGGGATCAGGAACACCATCCCAAGTACGAAGTAGTGCTTCAGTCAGTTCAAGGGCGTATGTATTGGTTGCAGTACGCTGGTGGACCATACATAAACCACGCCACTATCGCAAGACAGCAATTTCCAGTTCAGCCAAGCTCTGCACGGTGCATTCTCGATTCGAGCTACACGAGACCCGCTTCCTGTGCGTTTCGCCCGAGACTCCCGCAGCCCTACGAAGTACCCCTCATCCACCACTTTCTGTTCATTGTCTGAGCTCCTTTTCAGATCGATTAAGTGATCGGCGCATGGTTTTTCTATTTTTCGATTACCTTCCTATACAACTGAATACTCAAAAATGCTACACGGAGCTTGCATGCGTTCGCAGTGCCCATCCAAATCATTCATGTACATGATGTCAGGCTGAAGTCCAAATGACCATACACAGCTTCCTTAAGATTCCAAGCACATGATGGGGTCGGAATGACGACGGTCAGATGGTAAGCTGACTGTATTATTACCTCCTCTCAACGAGCGGGGGATCACGTTACTTGTTCATTTCTTGGCTTGTCCCGGTATTAGCTTCAAGCTTTTGATCGTAGTTTGATACCAGGCAGCCATAATTCTAATGAGTCCTGTGCTTCCTGGAGTTATGTGGCGAGTGAGGAGACAGATGATTTTGTTGCCGTGGAAAGCTCACCCCAAAAAATGTCTTAAAAAGTTTTCCGACTCGATTTTTCATCCCAACAGAGCTAAAATTTCTCTCCCCACAGTCTTTAGATTTTCTTGAATTCTGCATAATATTTTCATTTGAAATCATTTCATTAGCAAGGTTTTAAAGTTGCCGCCAAATCATTCTTTTCATCTGGCCTCCATCTTATCCATCCTACACGGGCTGGGAGCTGAGATATGGGACGGAGTTCTCGAGTCTGGAAGTGACAGGTTTACTATCTTTATCTCTACATCAGCTGCTGCCACTGCAGCTTGAGAGCTTGAGAGCTTGAGAATATAGGTACATACCTTAGAGTGAGGTAGGCACTAGCTCCATGATCACGTGGTGCATCACAAGGTCACGTGTGGATAGAAATTGCGCTGTATGATCTTACTTTCTGTTACAATCCCTCAAGAACCCATGGGCTTCCATCTGCAAATTCTACCATTAAACAGTCATTTTTAAATTCCCAAATTCATCCCGGCCACCCTTTGTTCCCAAATGCCATCCCTGAGAAAACTTTGCGCGTCCTCGTGCAAAAAGAAGAGAAATACGCGTAAAGCGAAATACTAAATACACATTCCAAACAACCACAAGGCTTGCAGGATAACGTTTCAAGACTGCAGTGTGATGCTTCCTCCGTGAATTCCCACCCTTGCCTCTGTTAACGGTGCTCTTTCGCTCGTTTCGCAGGTGTTTCCTACTGCTCGCGATGATCCAGAACCATTTGAACTTCCTCAGGCGTCAATTTCATACGGATTGTAGATGGGGAGTCACGGTGCGCAGGCGTAGATCGTTGTGGTACCGGTTGCGGTGAAACCTCAGAACTATCCCTGGGTAGCTCAGCCAGCTCTGACCAGTGACGCTGATCACCAGAAAGTTCTGCCCTTTTCACCTGAGTGAGATCACTAGGAAGCTCGTTGATTGCGCTGTTCCTGTTTTGGATACCACCACTCGCCTCGTGAATCGCTCGGTTCTGTTCTCGCTGTCGTTGAATCCTCCACCACATATAAGCTATGCCCGCCAATGCGAGAACTGCAACGGGAACCACAACTGCCACAGCAATTGTTGCCGTCGATGTCCTTTTCAATGCTGGAGCTGCAGAAGCTAATATTTGTTTGTTAGGACTTTGGAGAACATGGGGATTGGAGAACGTACTCGTAGTTGCTCGATTCCCATTGGGAGTGCTGCCCGTTGTCCCCCCTGCGCTTGCTACAATGGACGAGGAAGTACTGCTCAACATGCTCCCAGCCAACGTACTTGAGGACAGAGCCGCCAAGTCGGAGCTTTCATACACCATCCTTACACCATACGCATTCAAACCTCCCCCAGCACTAAAAGTCACCATACTTGTTGAAGTTATCCCATATCCCGACGAAAGAGTTATCGGCAACGAGATCGATGACGCAGGAGTCAAGTTATAGGTACAAAACAATGTAGCGAAGTTTGCTGACGGAGTCACAGGGTCAACACAGGACAGCAACACCTCGCCGCGAACGGGACAGCATATTACTGTCGTGATCGTTGACACCCCATTGGTACAATGACAAGCTGTAACATAGCCTGATGGACAAAATAAACCGGGGGAGAAGTAGGCTGTTGAAGATAGTTGAGCACTGGTCGGGAGGCAGGAGGTCATGGGATCAACCATGTAACGTCCATCTGAGGGCTGGTAGAAGCCTGAGCAATCGGCCGGAGGCGTGTACGTGGTTGTTAAGGGATTAAGGGGGAAAGATGTTATTGTTGTCGTTTCTGAAGCCATTTTCGCTTCGCTTCGAATTATCTCCCCCTGAATCTAAAGACTCGAGATAATTAAGAAATTACCTAAAGAGAGCTGTATTGCTGGCCTTAATGCCCAACAGATCTATTTTTAGGGATCAGTCAGCAACTGTACGACAAGGGGCAAAAGAAATCATGAACACTCGCTCGCTGCAAGGCTGTGAGATGCTTGGGCCAATCAAGACTAAGGTATAGATAGGGTGTTGGCCTTCGCCCCTCACATCTCCAGTTCTAGTAGTGACAATACTAGGAGGGGTTCATGACTTTTCGAAACCCCCAATCGTACCAGTATTTACATAACTTCACTAGGTCCTTCCCTAGCTTCCCTAATCAACCTTCTTGTTACCCCAATTGCTCCCACTGCAACGGTGATCTCTCACAACAATAGTTTGATTTTATAAACGAGGACAATAATTGAATCTATGGAAGCACCTAGGTCATCGGTAGTGTAATCTGAAAAGAAAGGAATTGAGACAAGAAAGCTAGAAAGTCTGAGTACACCTGTGGCATAGGGGTGAACGCACGCAACGTGCTATTCTGAGCACGGCGGCCTGCTCATCGTCTGTCAACGAGTCCTCTCTTCTTCTCATGGCTATCAGCTCCATGCAAGTCTTGCTTGCTTTTGATAGAGTCTTGCATGCAGTGAGATGTCTGTAGCTGCTATTTGAATGTTTAGGCATCAGCAGTTGCTCGATCAGGATCAATGAGTTTTGTCTTGAGCTATTTTGAGCTTCTTTGAGGAGCATTGTGTTCAAGAATATTAATATTACAGGTCTGTGTTGTCAAGTGCAGAAGTGCAGTCATGTGTTTTAGCCTGGGAATATCAGAAGCTCATTTTAAGTTGTGGGGGAAGTGGCAAGTTCATAAACATGAAGATAGAGGTGGATTAATTGAGGTGGAGATCTTTCTGCCATTCGATGAGGGATCGAGCAAGATGGTGTGAGCTTTTCCTACCAATCTAGGTTCTCTTTTGCGGCCTGCAAGAGTCAATGTGGAAATATTCGGGGAACAGGACTCCTCGTTCATTGAATAGATACGAAGCAGTATGGGACAGTAGGATCTTGCTTGTACAACGAAGGGCCACGGCAAACTTTTCAAATCTTTCCTTGCCATAGTTTCAGCCATCTTCGACAAGAATTATGCGAATTGCTTGCCGCTAGGAAGCAACTCTAAGTACATGAACCTGTAGAAGTTGAAACGACGCCAAAGCAATATTTTCACAAAGCCATTCCCGGATTGGAGATTTTGCTCACAATTCTGGTCTCATAGCTTGGGAATATAAAAGTAGACTTAAAGACCCACAAGTGGAGTCAAACCATCAATCTCTTGATTATCTGCTTTACGGCAGCCGTGCGCTTTGAAATAGAAGGATTGAATGCCGAGATATCACTTGGAACAAAAGGCGTGGGAGCCTTAAGCGCACAGCTATGCCCAGGTAGTGGCTTAAATATATATAATAGAGGATGTTGCAAAAAGTGGGTCTGAGAGTGCCAAGCCGGGAGAACTTTTTGCGTCACATGATCGTAGCGGCAAAGCTCCAGCCCCGCCCCCCATTGTCCTTGTAGCCGAAAACCACTGTGGGCTTTAATTAATGAAATAAGCCGATTCCCTTCATCCAGCACATCCCTCGTGGCGCAATTGGCTAGCGCGTTCGACTGTTACGCATCAGACAATCGAGAGGTTGGTGGTTCGAGCCCACCCGAGGGAGGTCATTTGATCTTCTTCAATGTCTTCTTTCTTTTTTTGGGGGCATTTCCTTTTTGCTTCATGCCTTTGGAGTACCGCAAACTCATGGCAGTAAATTTTTGGGCGTCTACGCTATACAGGCTCGGTTCCGCGGACCAAAGGGTTCACCACACAACAGCTCAAAGTCATTAACCATAAATAAGAACACTAGAATTCGAGGAGATTAATTAACATTTGATTCTGTCTATCTGGAATTTTCTGTATAATTTGCGATATCTTTACATATTTTGCAGGTTGGCCTGACCTTTTTGCTTTTAGAAGCTCTTACTCTAGGAAGAAGGTACTGAGGTGCCATTTTTACAATTCTCTGAGTTACCTAGGTAGGCTATTTTTGGCACCGGTAAGGTCCCGAAGCTATGGGCCCCGGGCCGCAGCTTTCAACATCCGAGTGCGCAACCCTTTCCAGAGGTTCTGCCTTTTCTTGCCGTTTTCAATACCTAGTGCATTCATATTTCAATAGTGCTGCTATAAACGAAGCCATGGTCTGCTTTCGGACCTTGAATTTCCTTTTTCGGAAAGAGAAACCTTCAAAGTGAAACTCCCCGTACACGTGATATGGCATCGTCAGTGTCACACCGAGTTCGCAAGGCTAGACTCTGTTTTGGACCCCAAACGCTCGCCACCGCGGATCTAACGGTCAAAGGCCAAAGTTCTATCTTTGTTGCATACCGCATGCTTGAGGCTGTTAGGGGCTCTTCAAAATACTGTGGCTGTCGGTTCAGTCATCCGAATTTTTTCTCTTTCGGCTCTCAGAGCGTGGTTCTCAGGGGAAAGGACAACCCCCCGCGATCACGCATTGATGACCTCATTCTCCTTCACCCTTCAGGATTTAATAAAAAGGAATCTTATATTGATACAAGTTGCGATGGAGTTTTTCAGATTCTCGAAGTCGGACTTCCCCAATTTGCTGCCTAGTTCAGTATAGCTGAAAGAAAAGTTTGATCGTCCAAAGCATTCGGCTGGCATGCCGAGTCTGATGCTCACAACCTTTCACAGTTTCGAATCCACGAAATCATTGATGTATTTGAAAACAAGTCTCTGGGCGGAACTCAGAATGTGCAAGAACGAGAACACATCATTAACAACCGGACATTTAGCCTGGAAAGAGTGCAAAAACTCCCACATGTTGAGGGGGCACAAGACTATGAGGGCAAAAGGTCAAAGTGGACCACTCTGTCTTTCCCTCCCGATATCTCCGGATCGCCCGAGGTCTCAGTCTACCAAACAGTTGCACTTACACAGCCTTGCCAAATGACGAAGTTTCGGGGAGCTGTCAGCTCTGTCTTCGAAGGATTATCAGCAGCATACAATCACCACCAATTATCTGTGCCAGCCTTTCCAACTGTTGGAGGTCATTAATCCCGCACAGTCGAGCATAACTCGCGAGACCCTGACATCCTGGAAGATACAGGGTTGACACACACCAGTTCTCCAGGGTTCTCGTCGCCGGATTCCGCTGGGAACGTGATTCATAGTCCTGACTGGCTGGCCCCGATTGTGGGGAGAGCTGTCAAAGAGTTCCAGGAAGCCTTGCCGGAGTCGGTCCCTTGAAGGTCGCACCTCTTCAAAGACTATCACTGCAGGAGAACCGCTTCTCTGCAGGCTTCCAGAATACTTCAAAGTTCCGATTGCGCATGTCATTGGAGATCCTGGCCAAAAGACCACAGATGGCACAGATGCTCTTCCACGTGCAGATCTCGCCTGTGGCCAAGAGCCTATTCGCTCCCTACGCTTCAGTAGGAACGCCACGGCCTCAGCACAGCCCGTAACAGCCTCGAGGCCACCCTCAGAATGCAGTCTAGGCCGTTTCCAGGAATATCAACGAGGCGCAATCACTGGGCACTGTAAAGGTCGTCGCGCCTATGCTGGTGGGGGTGCTCCAACCCGGGCAATCGATAATCTGGACAGCCTTGGAGTCGATGCAGACAGCAGATCGCAGTCACATCTCACTCTCTCAATATATTTGGGCACGCAACGTCGCAACTTCCACTTATTCTGCTTTCTGCTTTCTCCCCTTTCTCCCTTTCGACATTGACCGAAAGCAGGAGCGAGACCACTCGACGATCAGAACACAACAAAATTGCAACAGCCGGCTGCCTGCTGGCCCTTGCTCCCCGGCCATGACCGAAGTAGCTCCCTTGAAGGGTATCCTCAAGGCTCTGGAAACGGGAATCAAATTAGCAGGCAGGGTTTCCGAATCAGCAGAGCTCGCATTCTCCGAGGCTGCGAACTCTGCGACGACTGCAAAAGCGCAGCAGATTGCCCAGTTGGCACCCAGTTTGCAGAAGGCATTGGAGCAGACTTGTCAGGCCATACGCGATGCCTACCAGCAAGACGTTGAGGGATATGGCACACCGTTCACCAAGGCTTTGGTCGAAGATAGTGAGTAATCTGGAATCTTGAGTGTTTCCCAACTGATGATTTGGCAGAAACAATCCAGGGACGACTGAAGGACTTGAAAAACGATGTTCGTGATAGCATAGATGAATGCCAGGATTTCGAGGATGACCCCGAGTCCTTCGAACAGACAGCCTTCATCAACATCCAGGACCAAGCCCAAAAATGCTTGAACGATTGCCTCTCTATATTCAATGATCTGCGAAATCAGTTGCCACAAGACAGACATCGAGCATTTATGGAAAGCCAGCAAAATGACACGAGGGCACAATCGACAGAGTATAGCCAGAATAGTCCTGTTGCCAGCCGTCAGAGATTTACGGTAGAGAGCCAGCCAAAGGACGACAGGGCACTATTATCAAGCATGAGGCAGCCTAGCTTTGCCAATGCAGAACCACCTCCCTATATATCACCAGCGAGTCTAACCGAACCCCTCCAAATCAATGCTCCCTCTGTCCGCGCGCCACCGACCGAGCCAGTGAAGCCCAAAGGTCCATGGGGCGTCGAACGCCCTATGCTATATGGTGACAGTCCAACACTTCCCAGCTCCCTGGGGACCTCAGTGGGGTCGTTACGACGGAAACCTATTGGAGTAGATGTTTCTCATACGGCGCAATTAGATGCTCCTCCATTGATTCCTAAGGAGATTGTCCATTCTCGGATCAGTGCAAACGAAGAATTTCTTGAACGACGGCGGCAGTCACGTCTCATGTTCAACAACGAGCTTCGTTTCTCTGCTGTATCCTCCATTGACGAAAACCGGGCCAGCGAGGTCTTCAGTGATGGACCTTTGTCCCCGATGTGTCCAAGCCCTGGAACGTCCACAAGTCCTGTCGAGGGGCGTGGTAGTTTCAGAGCAAGTTTGAACTCAAACGCTATGTCCAGACAAAGGAGCCAAGGGCATTCTTCACAAAGCACACGTAGCTCGAGAACGAGCTCCACTCTTCCTGATCGTCAGTCATATCAGAGACATGACAGTGAAGGTTCGATATTTGGCCTCCGTGAGGCAGCTGGCCAAGCGAGCCCTGCCATAACTGAAAACCAAGCAGCAGGAACGTCCGGAAATATCGAGCTTTGGTCGCCAATTATAACAACTGTGAGCCCGGCCGCTATCGACAATCCCTATAGCTGGGATCCAGTACCAACAAGGTTGCAACCACCGCCGCCTGTGTGCGGAAGTGAAGCTCCATCCGGACTAGAACCAGTGAACATGGCATACGACGATGGAATGATAGTTGTTAATGCCCCAGAGCAACCGCCGACCGCAACGTTTACCATAAGCCAAATGAATTACCCAATACGACCTGATAGCTCTTTCTCCAAATTCGGGGGGTTCTGCGAAGGTGCTAAAGCTTTACTAAGAGGGGAGACGGGGTTTAAAATAGTGAAAAGGCCTTCTGTATGTTCAAAGGCTGTTAACTGCTACCAAGGACTAGCTAACAATATGTACCAGGGTCATTATAGCGCAACTGTTTCAGCAAGATGCGTCGCATGCTCTTATGAGGTGGGATGGAATGACGTGGAGAAAGACAAATTACTCGACAGTCAGGATATCGATCCCGAAGAAAATCAATGGCTAACATTCTTCAGGAGCCGGTATATACGGAAACAGTGGAATAAGATTTCGGCAACGCTTTATATCAAAGTGCCATATGAAGACCAACTCAATCGAAACCCCCAAATATGCTGTAAGAATCTTCGAATGGCCCATCATCACAGCTTCTAATCTTGTTTAGTGCTTGTTTTGCGTTGAAGTACACAAGACAGTCGAAGAACACGATGCAACAATATTCTTCTCAGTCGCGCAGCTGTTCAAGCACCTCGCCAAACACCCACAGCCGGTACCACACGTGAATGGCATAACTGTCCTTTATGGGGCCCAGGCACCAAACGTGCTTGACTTTGACCTTAATTTCACCTCACTACAGCCTCTAGTCCCTGAATTTGCTTACGCTGCAATTGCGCAGAAGGCGGCAACTCGACCCTCAGCCATGGCTATCTCTTCCAACCATCCAAAGAATAATCGAACCGATTCCCGCGACCCAGATGGCAATGCAGTGCTACATTTCGCTCTCGGAGCCCGTATTGTTGGGATTACATTCCCGGACAGATTCAATGGTCAATGGGCTATCGGCTACCACGACGGCGTACGCGGAGCATTCCCAACCGCTTGCATTGCGATCGACCCTCCCGGAAGAGATGAGGAAGTCATGAATTCGAATAGCAACTTAGTTGCCTTTGCAAAGTGGGACTTCAAGTTAAAGAAATCGAAAGACGATCCATGGCTTAAGTTCAACAAAGGAGAAACGATAGACCATATTGGATTCAAGTATCAGGATCAATGGTGTTGGACGGGACAGAATGCCAAGGGGCAGTGGGGCATTTTCCCAAATTCTTTTGTGGACAACCTGCACGATCGTGGCTTGTTCAATAAGGGTCCAGCAAGCATCAAGAAGGGCAGTTTGTCTTCGAAGATCGGTCTTGGGAGACATAGGAGCTCGAACAAGCATGAGCGAAAGACGAGCATGAAGAGCACGAGCAGCGGTGGAAGTTTTACTAGTATGC